GTATTCGTTCTCTCTCTGCTCGATGTCAACCTGCTCGTATTCGTTCTCTTTCTGCTCATATTCATTTTGCTCGTGTTCGTTCTCTTTCTGCTCGTGTTCGTGCTCTTTCTGCGCGTGTTCGTTCTCTCTCTCTGCTCGATTTCAGTCCGCTCGTTTTCGCTGTCTTTCTGCTCGTACTGAGTCTGCTCGTACTCGTTCTCTTCCTGCTCGTATTCATTCTGCTCGTATTCGTTCTCTCTCTGCTCGATGTCAGTCTACTCGTATTCGTTCTCTCTCTCTGCTCATATTCACTTTGCTCGTGTTCGTTTTCCCCGGTGACCCTGCCTATTTTTGGCCGTCTTGTTGATTGTGTTTGGCACACTTTAAGCTGCCTGGCTTCCACATGGTTGCTTTCCAATTAGTGCCCCGGTGACCTCGCCTCATGTTGGCTCCTGCTCGTAGGGTTTGATGAGAGGCCTAGAGGTTTGTCGTATGTCCCCTCTCTTCGTGCTCGTAGGGTTTGTCGTATGTCCCTCCCTTCATGCTCGTAGGGTTTGATGACAGGTCTACAGGTTTGTCGCACGTCCCCTCCCTTCGTGCTCTTAGATTTTGTCGTATGTCGCCTCTCTTCGTGCTCGTCGGCTTTGTCGTGTGTCCCTCTTCGTCTTCTTGCAAAGAATCCCAAGAATCAAGAAACTGAGATTTTATTTTCAGAGGTTTGTCGTATGTCCCCTCCCTTCGTGCTCGTAGGGTTTGTCGTATGTCCCCTCCCTTCGTGCTCTCTACATGTTTGTCCCCTCCCTTGGTGTTCTTAGGGTTTGTCGTATGTCCCCTCCCTTCGTGCTCGTCGGCTTTGTCGTATGTCCCTTTTCTTCTGCTTGCAGAGAATCCCAAAACATTGAGAAATGTACGGGTTTATTTTCGATGTTTGTCGTATGTCCCCTCCCTTCGTGCTCGTAGGGTTTGACGAGAGGTCTACAGGTTTGTCGTACGCCCTCTCCCTTCGTGCTCTTAGGGTTTGTCGTATGCCTCCCTTCGTGCTCGTAGGGTTTGTCGTATGTCCCCTCCCTTCGTGCTCGTATGGTTTGATGAAAGGTCTACAGGTTCGTCGCCCTTATCGCTCTTAGGGTTTGTCGTATGTCCCCTCCCTTCGTGCTCGTCGGCTTTGTCGCATGCCCCTTGTCTTCGCTCTTGCTTTCCCCAGACCGAAGGTAGAACCAAAAGTGTTGGTCCGGATTGACAAAAAATGTTTTGTTTTCCCCCACCCCACCCTCGAACCATTCCAGTTCGAGCCAACCCCCAACCCACCCTAGAACCAACTACCCGTATTCGTTCTCTCTCTTGCTTGCGAGGCCCTCATCCAAGTTTCCAACCCCAGAATGGGGGTCCGGAAGTTGCTTTTCCCCACCCCACCCTCGGACCACCCAAGATGAGAAACACTAAGAAGGGGCCGCCGCATTCCCGGCCCCGCAAAGCCTTCATCTTGATGGGGGGTGGGGGGGGGGTGGGGGGGGTTGGGGGGGGTGGGGGGGGTGGGGGGGTGGGGGGGTGGGGGGGGGGGGGGGTGGGGGGGGGTGGGGGGGGGGGGGGTGGGGTGGGGGGGGGTGGGGTGGGGGGGGGTGGGGGGGGGGGGGGGGGGGTGGGGGGGGGGGGTGGGTGGGGGGGGGTGGGGGGGGGTGGGGGGGGGGGGGGGGGTGGGGGGGGGGGTGGGGGGGGTGGGCTATGGGCAAAAAAAGCCGTGGCCATTGGCAAAAAAGCCGTGGCCATTGGCAAAAAAAGCCGTGGCCATTGGCAAAAAAACCGTGGCCGTTGGCAAAAAAGCCGTGGCCAGCCGGGGCCGTTGGCAAAAAAGCCGTGGCCATTGGCCAATGGCCACGGCTTTTTTGCCAATGGCCACGTTCCCCATCAAGGTTGGGGGGCATTTTGTGCGAATTGGGTTTGAAAAACCCATTTTGGCGACCAACCTAAATGACATTGGTGGCCATTGGCAAAAAAGCCGTGGCCATTGGCAACTTTCCCGTGGCCATTGGCGAATTTGCCAATGGCCACGGTTTTTTTGCCAATGGCCTCGGCTTTTTTGCCAATGGCCACGGTTTTTTTGCCAATGGCCACGGTTTTTTTGCCAATGGCCACGTTCCCCATTAAGGTTTAAATTATTATATGATAGAGAGAGTTTAGGGTTTAGGCTGCGGATCCTCCGGAACCCCGCCTGGTTGCAGGTAACGCCTGCGGTGAGGCCGAGATGGCAAAGGCCTGGTGCCAGGGTTTCAGGGCAACTTAGGGAACAGGGGTTTAGGGTTTAGGGTTTAGGGTTTTAGGGTTTTTTTGGGCTTTAGGGTTTTAGGGCAATCGAGGGTTTAGTGGTGTTTTAGGGTTGCTTGCAGGGTTTTAGGGCAATTTAGGGTTCAGGGGTGTAGGGTTTTTGAGGGAAATTTAGGGTTCCGTGGTCCTTGTGTTTTAGGGTTTGCTTGTAGGGCTTTAGGATTTTTAGGGAGTTTTGGGGTTTGAGGGTTTTAAAGGCCTCGGGGGGTTGGGGGCTTCCGGGTTCTAGGGCTTGGGGGTTTTAAGGGTGTACGGTTCGGGGCTTCGGGTTTCGGGTTCAGGTTCTTAGGGTTTTAGGGTTTACGGGTCTTAGAGCTTAGGGGCTTTAGGGTTCTAGGGCTTTAGGGTCTAGGGATCTTGGCCTGTAGGTGTTAGGGCTTTACGGCTTTGGGTGCTTTAGGGTTCCCCCTAAAAACCCCCGAAACCCTAAACCTTATGTTGTAAAATAAATCAAGCGTCCTAGATGGTTTGAGGAACATGCTGCAGCCCATGGAGGGTTGGAGGGTGGAGTTTGTCGAGATCATGGTTGGGATGGCATTAAAACTTTAAGCTTCTCTTCCTTGTTGAGTTTAAAGTACCCTTAAAGATATTTAATGTTACCCCACCATGACAGACTTGTAGGGTCTAATACAAGGGGGGTAAAAACTAGAATAGGGTGTTGGGGGTTATTACAGCATAATTATAAACGGACCCCAAGGGAATACTATTTGCAATTATTCCGACCCCTACATTAAAGATTTTGTTCGGCCCAACCTCCGAGAGAAGCGCCATGGCCACAGGCCAAAGGGGCGTCCGCAGTCTTAGGGGGTCTCAGGCAGGAAGCCTCGAAGCTCTTAAATCGGGACCCTTGCAACGGTTCAGGGTTAAAGGCTTGCGGTTTGAACCCCTAGCCTTAGCTTTAGGCTTTCAACCCTGAAACCCCTAGAAACGCCTAAGCCCTCAGCGGACACTGCTTCCTGCTGACCGGATGGGCGTCTACCCTAGACCCAACTGCTAAGCCCTAAGCATCGAGTGCGCTTGACCGATCAGCTTATCCTACAAAACTGTGAGCCATCTGCCTGCCAGAGTGGAGGGCGGGATGCCTTGAACTGGGTCTAACCTCAGTTGCCACACCATCAGCGGAAAGCCAGGCGAACTGCGTTTCGCTGGGCCGTTAAGAACTGGTCATGTGAGATTGCAGCGTGAAGGATGACTTAATCCCTGTTCCCCTAGGAAGAAACTGGATCCTTTTTGCTCATATATAAGAAAGCCCACAACCCAAAAAGTAAAAAGGGGTCGTAGGGGTTTAGGGCTTTGGGGCCTGGAAGGGATAAGGCTTGTGGGGTTTAGGGCTCAAAATTTAGAGCCTAGGCTGAAGATGGCCAATTCTCCAACTATGGTCTTTTGGGCACTCTACATAATAGGGCCCGTATGATTGCCTGTACCACAAAACGCACGAAACCTCCTCGCATGACGTCTAGCAGCGGTCACCTTTTGTCGATCTCGGACTTGCGGCACTGCTTGGGAGGTTCCCCCTTGTGCTAGCAGCTCCTGACTAGGGATGATGGTACCCCCTGTTATAATCCCGATAAAAGGAGCTGTTAGGTATAAGGCGGAACATCCCAAGGCACTGCTGTACAGCTCATGTGCCACCGCAGTCCTGCCTTGAAACGGCGCCAAAGGCTGCTGCCTCACGAAACTAAGCCCACAGCCCTCAACCCGCCTTGGCGTTTCGGATGTAGGGGTTTTTGGGTGTACTTAGGGCCCTAAACCCTAAACCCTAAACCCTAAACCCTAAACCCTAAACCCTAAACCCTAAACCCTAAACCCTAAACCCTAAAGCCTAACCTAAACCCTACACCATGAAGACTAAACCTCACCTACTCCGCAGGCTGCTCCCCTCCGCGCCTCTTTCTTGATGCCTCTCTTGGCACTCTTGGCCACAGGACACCCCGCGGCTGACAGTAGGGGATCAGTTGTCAGAGGGTCTAGGGTTTAGGGTTTAGGAAAAGGGTTTGGGGTTTGGGGTTTAGGGTTTAGGGTTTAGGGTTTAGGGTTTAGGGTTTAGGGTTTAGGGTTTGGGGTTTAGGGTTTAGGGTTTAGGGTTTAGGGTTTAGGGTTTAAGGGGGTTGGGCATTCTTCTTCTTTGGGGGGTTTAGGGTTTCGAGTTCTGGTTCTGGGCCTCAGAGTTTCGTCGGAGCCGGGGGGCTGAGAACGACATGAAGTACCGAAACGGAAACTCCCCCCCCCCCCAACAAAATAAAATCACCAATATGTCTAGGAACCCTACAGAGCACCCTAAACCCTAAACCCTAAACCCTAAACCCTAAACCCTAAACCCTAAACCCTAAACCCTAAACCCTAAACCCTAAACCCTAAACCCTACACACACGAGAGTTCCCCTGCACACAGTGAAACATCGCGGAGACCTCGAGACCCTTCTGGTCGAAGGCCCCAGGCAGTGGAAACGCACAACGAAAGGAGTTCGGAAGGCTCTCAGGGCTTGAAGGGTTCTGAGGATTTTCAGAGCATTCTTAGACCCTAAACCCTAAACCCGAAACCCTTAACCCAAGTTCTTAGACCTCTTAGCCTGCTTAGGGGTTCTTATAGGGTTTAGGGTTTAGGGTTTAGGGTTTAGGGTTTAGGGTTTAGGGTTTAGGGTTTAGGGTTTAGGGTTTAGGGTTTAGGGTTTAGGGCTTCGTGGGGCGGGGGAGGTTTGGTCAAATCTCGATGGATCGGAGCGTGCAAAGGCGGCGGGTGAAGCGCGCCGCGGGCTCCAGCAAGTCGAAGCCGACAAACTTCTTCGTCAGCAGGCCTTGTCCGAAAAGAGGGTCTCCGAAAATTTCGGGGGTTTAGGGTTTGGGGTTTAGGGTTTAGGGTTTAGGGTTTGGGGTTTAGGGTTTCGGGTTTAGGGTTTAGGGTTTAGGGTTTAGGGTTCTCAAGGGCCTCCGAAGATTGGGCCTTAAGGACTTCAGGCTTGGGGTTCCCGAGAATAGTCGAATCCCCACTAGAAGGACCCCCTTTGGAGATGCGCACGAGACCTGCAAAGAACGGGGAATGAGGTACCCTGTATAATCCCTGAAAGGGTACATATGTGGGGGATATAGAGTACCTCATCCCCTCATTCCCTACCAAGACATACGCCAGCCTAATCCCGAAACAGTCCGAATGAGCTGCTTGGGCAGTTTATTTATCGCACTGTAAGGATGCTAGGGGAGAGTATTGGCCACTGTCTCGGTTCCGGCATTCACCCTCACAACCTAAGCCCTAAACCCTAAACCCTAAACCCTAAACCCTAAACCCTAAACCCTAAACCCTAAACCCTAAACCCTAAACCCTAACCGACAACCCTAAACCCCCATGCCTCGGTTGCCAAAAATAAGCATCTGCAGGGCTGCATCGAACTCCCGCATGCACGAGACTTTCGACAGGATCATCTCCTTGTCCTCTGAGGTTTAGGGTTTAGGGTTTAGGGTTTAGGGTTTAGGGTTTAGGGTTTAGGGTTTAGGGTTTAGGGTTTAGGGTTTAGGGTTTAGGGTTTAGGGTTTAGGGTTTAGGGTTTAGGGTTTAGGGTTTAGGGCCGCTGAACCCTGAGCCCTAAGACCCAAACCTCAACCCCTGAAGCCCTCAATCCCAAACCCTACATTCAGGAAGAGAGCCCGCGAAGGGACCTCATCCCCCCAACCCCCAGCTTCAGGGCTTAGGGTGTGGGGTTTAAAGTTTAGGGTTTAGGGTTGAGGGTTTAGGGTTTAGGGTTTAGGGTTTAGGGTTTAGGGTTTAGGGTTTAGGGTTTAGGGTTTAGGGTTTAGGGTTTAGGGTTTAGGGTTTACCCCAAGACCCCCAAATTGCAGTTACCATCCCCCTTCTCAAGAAACCCCCCCAAGAGAGACCCCACTTTAGAACAACCCCCCCTCTTCACGACCCTAAACCCTGAACCCTACTAAACGCTCAACCCTAAACCCGCAACTCTCAACCCTGAACCCTAAACCCTGAACCCCAAACCCCGTCCTCTGGCCGTGAAGCCAGGCTGTCGGCCACACTAAGGTTCACCAGGTGGTCCTTTTTACTCCCCTCAGAACCTTAACAAAAAACAACATTTTTCTTATATCCTCTTGGGCTTTATATGAACAAAAACAAAAACCCTAAACCCTAAACCCTAAACCCTAAACCCTAAACCCTAAAAAAAAAAATGCCAAGGGGGATGTAGGGTCGTAGATGGCCAGGTCATCCGCGTAGGGATCGAAGGGCTTGCTGGATTCCAGACAGACCTGGGCTTCGATGTAGGGCGGAGGGGCCATCTTAGGGTTTCGCAAACCCAAAAAACCCTAAACCCTAAACCTTTAGGTCAGGGTTTTGGCTTTAGGGCTGCTGATGGATGTACAGGGTGTACTTGGGGTTTCTGGGATGCTTAGGGATGTGTTAGGGTTTAAAACTTAGGGCTTAGGGTTTAGGTTTTAGGGTTTAGGGTTTAGGGTTTAGCGTCAGAGACCCGCGCTTGGGAGATTGAGTTTCGGCTTCCCGCCTTGTTGGGCCTAGTGGAAATTCCCCCAACCCCCCCCAGCGCCATGTGGGCCTTAATAATTAGAATAGGGTTTTGGGGATGAAAATGGCATATTTGCAGAGGGACCAGGGAATACGATTAATTATTCCGACCCCTCTAGTACATGGGGGCTGTGCTTTGAAGGGTTGGTAGTACAGGAAGGGGATTGTCCCTACAACCAGGGAGCGGGGGGGAGGGGGTGCATTGTTCCAGATCTGTTCTTTCCGCTCCCTTCGGGGTTTCGTGCTCAGGGCTCACTACCTTGCGCTTGTGAACTAGGATGGCCCCTTAAAGGGTTTAGGGTTTAGGGTTTAGGGTTTAGGTTTTAGGGTTTAGGGTTTAGGGTTTAGGGTTTAGGGTAGCTATTCCTGACTATCATCCTCTTAAAACCCAATAAGGGAGAATATAAAAAACGTCCCAAGAAACCTGCCTAGTTAGAAGCAGACCAGCTGCCGTCTGCGGGATGTCAGCGCCATGCGCTGCCACCAGCTCTGCGACGCACCAACTTCTGGAGAAGACGTCGAACTTGTGGTCCACGGCAACAAGCTGCCTGCGAGCGCCAAGAGAGGGGTCGGAATAATTATTGATAGTATTCCCTTCTGGTCCCTTTGTAAATATACTAGTATAGCCGGGCCTATGTATATTTATCTATCTATGTATTGATTTATTGTCTATATACA